GTACGATGAGCACACGTTAAAAAAATATGTCTGCACGCATTTCTTACATTTGAATTTTTAGAATAATTTATTTGCTATCAGCTGGAATCTTTTTTTTTTTTTTTTTTAGCGAAAAAGAAAATTTCTTGACTAGAATTTTTATAGATTCAAAGACTTTATGTAACAATATGCGAATTTTGTCTTTATTCGTTTTTAGACTAGTTTGCGCAAAGATTCGCACTTTTGGGGTAAAAAATATTTTACCCCAAGAATATTCGGTGATTCGCACTTTGCACGCAAAATGTATGTGTAGAAAATTATGGAAGGTAAATCAAGGCTGACGTTGCATTTCAGCACTCTCGATGTCAAAAGACGTAGCCGGTGCGACGTTTATGGCGGCGGCGACGTCGGCCCCAGAATTATTCGTGAATGCCATCGGAACATTCATCACGGAAGGTGACATTGGCGTCGGGACGATAGTAGGTTCCGCAGTATTCAACATCCTGGCTGTCCCAGCTTGCTGCGGCATCGGTGCAGGAATGGTAAGTTGCCAAGTGTGTCCTATAGTTTTGAGAAATCTAATAGATACGATAAAGAAATTTAGCTATATTTCCAAAAATTTACAACACTACACACGCGTGACGTTCAAGAGACACAGTAGCGTTTCGCGTCAAATACACGTAGCTCAAAATTAGAATATACGATTAGAATACTTTTTGTGGAAATAAATGCAAGTTTAATAAACATATGTATATATTTTTAAAATAGATTGTTATATGAATAAATATATTTTGATAATTCATTTATATTGCGATATTTCCAACTTCAGATACAAGTGATAAGTCATCTACAATTACGTAATTAAATTTGAAGATGATAGTACATTTTCTTATATTTCTTGATAGTATATGTATTTTAGCACATTTTTTACTTTAAACAATTATGAGTAAATGACAACAGACGAACTTTATCGAATAGATACGTATCAAATTGATAACAGATTGATTAATAATTGATAGCGATGGCCGTAAAAAATGCATTATGATACGTAATCAATGTTATCGAAAGAAATATTGTATATTTATACAAATATCGTATACATAAATTATATTAACGTAAATTTTGCATGAAATTAAACAAAAAGTGAAATTATTTATTTCTAAGTTTAGCACATTCTGTATTTTTTTATAATAATCTTAGATTTATTGTAAATTTTACGACTATAATAATATTATACAATATGTGTACATAAAACATTAACATTAAATATTTGTGTTGTAATTTCGCACATAATAACTATTTCTCTTTTCATACACAGTTGGTGCCTTTAGATTGGTGGCCTGTCAGTAGAGATTGTCTCGCTTACGGTGTTACAGTCGCAATTTTGATATGCATTATACACGACGAGCGGGTGGAATGGTACGAAGCATTAACATTGGTGCTGTTGTACATTGTTTATATTGCCGTGATGTATTGGGATAAATCGTTCCAGCGGTGTACAAGATTCCGTACGAACGACGATCAAATATCTTCAGACGGCCCACGAGTTACAACAGGTAAGGCCGTAATTTCGATCTCACGTTTTTTGAATTTTTTAGTTTTAATAGATTATCGTTATTTTTCGATTTTACTTTTACTTGTCTGAATGTTGTTTAAATTAAATTAATTTCATGATTCGATGAGACATTCGTAACTGTACAGCACTTTTACAATAAAATCTCCACTACTTTCAATCACGTTTTTAACGACCGAGTTTCAAGAATTTAAATTAAAAAGGTTTAAAGCTTTATAGTGTCATTTTCATAATAATGATAACAATTTTTAAAAGAATAAAAATAAAATTTTGAATTATGATAATTTCGGATTTCTACATAAAATATAAAATATATAAATAATGCGTGTTTCTTACAGATTCTAGCGACATTCACTTACCAAGAACGGACAAATTACAATCTCCTGGCGATCGCGTGGAACAGATAGCCACTATCGACGTTCCACTACAAAATGGTGGGACGAAAACGCAGGAAGAGAATCCAGATCCTGGTAAGCTTGTTCCCTTCTAAATTTTTTAATACGCGATATTTATAATACGACATTCGTGAACGGTTTGTTACGTAAAATATAATTTGTCGCGTAGAATTTATACTACATTAGTCAGATATTTACTTTCCTAGTCTAATCTAATCAAATCGATTTCTACGATTGTCACTGGTATTGACAATATCCTCCATGCAGCTGCGACGTGATGACGATATTTGTGAATAATATAGTAAAGCGATGCGTAATATATATTTCGTGACAACCACTTGATCGGTCAAATATAATTAAGCACTTGTGAATGGAAATTTCCAGACAGTTAATTCCTATCAAAATCAGAGATTGAATATTTAAATTTGACAAGTTCGGCTAATAAGCTATCGATATATTTTACGTAAATGTTATGTAATTTTACAATTTCATCAGATCACAATTTTATCTTAAGATGCTTATAAAAACACTACAAACATAGACAATATATCTGTTGAATTTGAAATTCTCATAACGTGTATAACAGATTACGAATACGAGCTCTTGGTGTGGCCAGCGCATGCTGGATGGTTAAGGAAGACGACTTGGGTCACAACATGGCCCATTCATCTAGTATTCATGTGCACAATTCCCGATTGTGAGAAGCCACGATTCAAGAATTGGTTCCCCATCACATTCCTGATGTGTATTATATGGATTGGATCACTCAGCTATGTAGTAGCGTGGATGATCACTATAATCGGTGAGTGATCATTTTAATTTGAAGCTTAAATGCAAACAAACGTATCGTCGAATATCCAAATGATTTGTGAAAGATATTTGATATTGAAAATTTTACGTGAACATTGATTCCAAATCGAAGTTTATTCTACTTGAAAGAATATCTTTGGCATGTCGCTCTCTCGCTATATAAAAAACCACAAAAAAGGAAATTGTAATGAAAGAATCTTTATTTTATTATGTAGAATTATTTAAAGATTTGATGTAAACATTCGCATTACATTCTTTTTTTAGGAGACACGCTGAAGATACCAGATTCCGTAATGGGCATCACTTTTCTCGCGGCAGGAACTAGCGTACCCGAAGCCGTATCGAGCGTAATTGTCGCGAAACAAGGTATACAGATATTAACACATATACTTATATTGCCAACGGAAAGGTTTTGCTAAAATATTTAAAAATTTAGCTAGATGTCGATCTGAAAAGAATTTGGTTGAACCATCACAATTATGTGAGACGCTCATACTGATTGCTAGAATATTAAAATTTTTTGCAGCATTACTCATTATGTTTAAGATTCTTGCGTAATTATTTTGATGGTCCAACAAAATTATTTTTAGATCTTAGCTAGATTTTTAGATACTTTAATAAAAACATTCTTTCCATATAATTACTCTCGTAAGTGTAAGTAATAGTATATTTACTATGACAGAAAAATTTTGATGAACATTTTTTCATATTCGGATCTTAGCACGGTTGTGTCTTTTGTAAGATGATAATAAAAAATAGCAACGTTTTTTCCATATAATTAATCTTGTAAATGAATATTTACTATGACAGAAAAATTTTGATGTACATTTTTTGTTCATACTCGTATCTTAGTACGGTTATATGTTTTGTGAGATGGTAGTAAGAAATAACAATAATGAGAGTACATTTGAGAACTAGTACAAAATTTGAGACGTTAGTGCGATAGAAATGGGCAAAAGCTGTTAGACATCATGGAGAGGAACTCATTTTGGTTGAGCTATAAGAGTGCGAATGGCGCTCGGTAATTTCAAAGGCGCATACCGTGTCGAGATCCGAAAGTTATTAAAGTTGATAGTTGTTTTCATCTCAAGAGAGACCGCCTTAACTTTTCGTCTGCAATCTGGATCTTTCTTGTCCAGCACAAGTTTTTTGTTTGTACTGCTGTAAGTTTGAAGTTTTTCAAAAAAATTCAAGATTACTTTCCAACATTTCTATTACATTGCCAAATAGGTTTACAAATGTTAAAATTTTTATCTGATAGAAACAGAGATTCAAGCAAAAATAAGGAAAAAAATTGCTCAAAAATGTATAACTTAACAATAAAAAAAAACTGAAGAATGAAAAATTCCGAAAATGAAATTTTACTTTTGCCGAAAAAGTGATCCAGATTGCAGTCGGTTAGGGTGAAGTAATGTCCTAACATGCCAAAATAGAGCTCTGTAATCGGTTTATAACATTTCGAAATTATACAGTGACGGTTTTTTAAATATAAGATTCGATTATATGGATATTAGCCGAAACATTCGTAAAAGTTACGTAATGACGAGAAGACGGAGCATAGAGTGGAAATACTTGAAACGTCTCCTTCATCTTGTTTTCTCCACTGTATACTTTCTACCATTCCGTTACGCTGTTCAGGACACGGGTCAATGGGCATCAGCAATTCGATAGGATCAAACACGTTCGATATACTATTGTGCCTCGGACTACCCTGGCTGATCAAGTCGTCCTTCTCGCCCACACAGCCCGGCAGGCATTACATAAGTATAAATTCTGGCGGGTTGGAGTATAGCGCGATATCATTGCTGTCGACCCTGATGTTGCTGTACATCGCGTTCGCCTCCAACAAGTTTCAGCTCGACACGAAAGTGGGCCGCGCCTGCCTGTGCATGTACGCCGTGTTCCTCATATTGGCGTCGCTGATCGAGCTCAACGTATTCTTCATGGTAAATCTCCCCACCTGCCAAAGGACGGTGAAATGATCGAGGAAACCCGGCCGATGACCCGCTCGTAATAATGACGTACGGGCGCGGCCTCGCTCGCAATCCGCGCCGGAAACGTTCTTTCCCTCCCTCCCCCCCCTCGCCGCCCCTCACCCACGGACTTACCGAGAGACCCGAGCTTGAGCGAGGGGTGTTTATTTCCAGCTACACGGGACAGCTCACCCGTGTGTACAGTTTTAATATCAACCAATGTTATCTCGCCACGTTAGAAACCAAGACATGTAATGCATTTTGTATTTACTTACTAAAAAAAAAAAAAACAATCTCTCTCTATCCCCGCTTTCTCTTTCTCTTCATCTCTATCACAATATTCAAAATTCGTCCTGGGAATTCATCTTCGAATCGTTATGTAAGTCGACATCTTTTCGCTCCATGCGACACATATACATCTATACAACATACGTTTTACATATACTTATTAAACACGCGCGCGTCCTTTCTCCTTGTCTCCCTTCTTCTATCTTTTTCTTACTTTTTCTTACTTTTTATTTTTATTACCAGCTCTCTCTCTCTCTCTCTCTCTCTCTCTCTCCTCTTCTCTTCTCTCCCCCTTTTTTTCGCTTATTTCTCCCTTAAAGTACGATCACTGTGCTTACGGCCATATTGCGTGCGCCGAAGGATAAACTTACGATTAGCCACAGTAACGAGCCATGGATCTCATGCAACACGATCGAAAGTTCGCCTAGGGATGTAGACGCGTGCAAAAATCATTTACCTCTGAATAATTTGGCGAGCGATAGAGCTTGATTCGTAGAATGGCGCTCTGCGACTGTGTCTAATTGTATATGAATGCGCGAGAAAGACTGCCGGCTCCGTTTAGCATAATCGCAGACCTCGGCATCGGTGTGTGACCGCGAGAATGTGTTTTTACGCGTGTGAAATGTCACTCGATCTATCCACCGATCGTGAATCTCATCCACTTCAACGGTACGCGGCGAACTTTCCATAAATGGAATATATTTGCTGTTAAATACAAATATAGCGCTGCACAAAGACGCTCGGAAGAAAATTTTATTCCCATTTTTTTTTGTTTTTTTTTTGTTTTTTTTAGCTCTTTCGTATCTCCGCTGAGAATTACCGGTAGTGGAAATTTTACCCGTCAAAACAGCGGAGATTCTCCCATTTCGATCACGCACCTTTTTACGCTGCGAACGTAACTGATGTATAGCAAAACGCACAGATGCAGACACAGCATACACAGACACACACACAGATATATAGGCATACAAACGCACGTATACGCGGAAAGAATAATTTTGTTAGAAGTATCTAAAAATTTAGCACGATACAGATCTGAAAAAGATTTTCTTGGACTGTCGAAATCATTATGTGGAACGCTTAAATTTTGATGACAATACTGCAAAAAGTTTTAACATTCTAGTTTGAGTGTCCTATATATAATTTTTTTGATTCAAATAAAATTACTTTCAGATCTCCCGTACAGCATCATTCCAAAACATTGTAAAAACGTTGCAGCAATGTTGCTGCAAGCTTTTGTACTGTATGGGCTGTATATCTAGCTAAATTTTTAAATACTTTAAGATACTTTAAGATCGTTCCCTCCGTGTAGATGCGTACAGATACGTATAGACACAAACGTACAAAGACACAAACTGAACCGTTTGTAACCGTTTGAATCACGAAAAGAAACGCGCGATACCTTTCTGCGATACATCTTCCCATTGCGATACACAAATCTGTGACTGTAAATGTGTCTAGATAAAACCGTAACTTAACATTTAATAAAGTACTGTAATAAGTTATTAAAATAATACACAATCAATAAAACGACACTCCTATCTTGTTTCTATTAATATACATAAGTAAGGGGTGAATCTTGCTCGAAGAATGTATTATAATATTATATATATATATGAGATCTGTCTAACGGATTGTCTCAAAAGTTACGAGAAAGCGTCTCGAATTTATGCAAAACAGCAATGCAGAAGAAATGCGTAGTTTTTAAGATATCTCTCATTTACTCGTCGTGACATGAAACTTTTGATCGACAGACTTCTGGCGTTTTAACCAATTTGTTTCCACCAATATACTCTCTAAAATTCTTGAAGTAAAATCTCACTCCGAAAGAGTTGAAATACTGCTATTATTAAAAACGAGTGAAAAATTTGCACTTTTGGATAAGAGTTTTTCACTTTTTTCGAATAGCGGACTCTTCCTTCTTTTCTAGTTCTAAGAATTAGAATTAGAAAGAGATAAAAAAGTAAGTTAAACCGAAATTAAAATTAATCTACAGAAATGGGTATAAATCAGACAACGTCTAAATCGATCGCGCATTTATAAACCGATGTTCATTTCACATCGGAAATTATATATTTTGCATATGATTAAGATGACACGATTTGATTTCCTGTGTATATCCATTTTTAGTATATTACGATATTCTTACGTCTACATAGAAAATTGAACGAAATACGACCCGATAATGTATAATCGCGCTGCGATTTTACAAATCAATTATTTAAAAACAATGTCAGACATTGTTTTCAAAATACATCGTCGACAAGTTAACTTACCGAAATCCGAAACGCTTCTAGAAATAAATACATTTCTTTGCACATCATTACATATTCCGTAAGAGAGACAAAACTTAGATGTGTACATAGAAAACTCGGGGAATAAATGAAATGTAACTCCTCCTCCGGTCAATTTCGTTTGAATTTTTGCTTTCAGAATGTTCAGCGATTGCTAAGTTTTCAAAAATCTAGACGCCAGAGATACTACCGTCCATAAATCTCGATCCGCTATTTTAGTTAAGCCATGTAGACATTGGCGAACATGAAACTGACACCTTTCAACATTCACGAAGACATTAATATGAGAATAAATAAACGTGAAACTTATGTCACATGTGTCACCGTGCCGGCGGATCTTTCTCACGATATATATCCGCTTCGAGAGTTCGATCGATGGACGGAACGGAAAATCGAACGTGGGATGACTCAATAAAGAACGATAGTCATCCTACGGATATCGGGCGCAATTTTATTTAAAGTCCGCGTTAGATATATACGTTTTCCCCGCTTATATACACCGGAGGATTTCTGAAAATTCGGGGCCTTGGCACTGATTCAACGACCGAGTTTACTAGCGTCTGGCTCCTCATCTCGCGGGACCCGCAATGTATGAGAAGATACGAGTCGGTCGAGACGTTGGTAACGCCAACTGTATAAATTTCTTAACTTATTCCAACCGTTTCTGCGTCTGTGAAATCTTGCCCGCCACTTGCAGGTACGTATATATACGTATACAATTTTGTATATTACTTCTCGAAGGGGTGAGTATTGTACGAGTGTCAACGCATGCTCCCAAGATAATGATCTAGTCTAGGAGATGTCTTTACGATATCTGTTAGATTTTCTACAATAAGCCACTATACCTTATTAAGTCTTAAGCCGTAAGAAATTGACCAGTCACAGTCGAATGCGAAAAGAATAATCGACTATGATTGATTTCTTACGACTTAAAACTTAGGTAATGACTTATTATAGCGATGACTAACTATGGGATATTGTAGAAAGCACATATGTCTCAAATGATGTCTTTTAGATGTACATGTTGCCTGGACCGTCGCGATAATTAGAGATCTGTTTTATTTTTTTCTACACTAGACTGCACCGGAACTTTCTTTCTCGCTTTCGCCATATATCAAACGTATATCCATTTCATTTTAAGTTTCAAAAGCACACTAGTTTAGTTATAAAAAAAAATAGACCTCACACAGCGTTGGAATTTATGGAACGACACAGATATACATATATTAAAAGCATTGCCTCAGTCCATTCATTCCATCGTTTTTAATTTATCAAGCCTTATATCTTGCAATTACTCCTCAACATATACGCATTGAGATTGCGTGACAGTTAATAACTGTCGCGTGTATGCCGCCGAAGTGGATCTTTAGGTGTGCACAGTACCGACGATCGAGCTTCGCTCGATGTCAGTTTTTTCTGTCTTCGAAAGGAAGGTTTCGCGACCGCGAGAATCATCGCTCGCGACTAAGAACCCGCGTTTCGTGAATGTCGGTGTTGTGTCTCCGTCGCGGTACGTTAGCATAGGCAT